AGCAAGTTTCAGAGTCTCTTCTGACATCCATTTTGGTCTTTTCTTTCTTTCCTGTCTTTTTAATGACCTCTTGCTTTCTTCATGTATGATGTCCTTGAAGTCACTGCACAACTCATCTAGTCTTAGGTCATTATTGTTCAATGTGTCAAATCTATGCTTGAGATGGTCTCTAAATTCAGGTGGGATATACTCAAGGTCATACTTTGGCTCTTGTGGACTTGTTTTAATTTTCTTCAGCTTCCACCTGAACTAGCATATGAGCAATCGATGCCCTGTTGTGACTGATGACATCGAGCTTCTCCATCATTTCTTTCCACAGATGTAGTTGATTTGATTCCTATGTATTCCATCTGGCAATGTCCATTTATGTTGCAAAAAGGTATTTCCAATGAAAAAGTTGTCGGTCTTGCAAAATTCCATCATGCAATCTCCAGCATTGTTTCTATCACGAAGGCCATATTTTCCAACTACAGATCCTTCTTCTTTGTTTCCAACTTTCGCATTTCAATCACCAGTAGTAATTATCAACACATCGTGATTGTATGTTTGATCAATTTCAGACTGCAGAAGTTGGTTAAAGTCTTCAATTTATTAAAAGTATGTTAATAAACATACTTTAACACAATTAAAAACAATGAGAGAAAATTATTGAACCTAAAGCAAATCTAGAAAGCAATTACCTAAGAACTTGACATCTTCTTTCACAAAATAAGATTAGGTAGTAGTTTCAAGATGAGATTTAAGCCTAATTGTTATTCCTATGAGGTTGGGTTTTTTTTTTTTTTTTTTAATTGCCTATGTATATGGACAAAGACATTTCATTTTTTCAATTATAACTCTTTTAATCTAGGATATATTATTTAAAAAAAAATACATAGTATGTTTCTTTAAACTCTGTTAGCTATGCCAGGTAAAAAAGAATCTATCCTGTTTGTAAGGCCCTCCAAAGTAAATTACACAGTTCTCTGTAACTTGTCCCTTGGCTCATCAATCCTCAAGAGTAAGGAAAATCTTCATTCCATGTAAGCCAAATCCGTTATCCTGTAATGTAATCCTTTTCCTCCTGTCTTCTTCAGGGTGTAGACAATCTAGTTCATCGCCGTTCTCTATATTATAAATGATCTTATTTCTTCCGAAACATAAATGATTCTTTGGCCCTGCTCTTTTCTAGACTGAAGACTAAAACCTCAATACTTTAAAATTGTTTTCAAAGAGCTTATTCAATTTTCACTCATCATCTTCTCTGAACCCTCTCTAATTTTTAAAC